GACAAAAAAATAATATGCACATTCAGAGAAGAAATTTCAGCCTGTTCCTCTAATTTCATTTTATTTCCATGTACAAGTTAAGTTAAAAAAATTGTTTAAAAATCAGTTTGTACCTCTTTTTCTCATAACTTTTTCCTTGACAAGTCTCACCAGGTCAGCTTTCTTGTCTTTACTCGTGTATTTAACCCCATGCTCCTTCAGAACAGTTTTTAAGATTTCCACTGCAATAAATGTGAGTTCCTTATTAACCATACATGCATTCCCCCCGGGGAGGGGGGGGAGTCAATCATAATCGCTAAAATTAAATCTGAGCTTAAGTTTATAAAAAAAAGTTTATTCAATTATTTTTGTGTATCACAGGTTAATTAATTATACACGGATGTAATAAGCAAATAGAGACATGATGACTGTACCACAGATTAATTCTGGAAAACTGTGATAGGCCTAATCATTATGGAATTACATGTACTGTACTGATGAAGATCTATACCTGTCATTTTTTTCAGGAGGGCCAGACTTTTTTTCCTCAATTCTCCTCTTCTTTATTTCCCTTTTCCTTGAATCCTCTTCTTCATCATTTTTTTGCAAATGTGGTAAAGCTAAATAAATATTAAGGCATGCTCACAATGTATTTATTATGAATTTGTAAAGAAAAAAAAACATCGGGTTTGGATTTCATAAAATCCAAAACGCAAGTAGGTCGAAGATAGAATTCACGAGGCTGATGAGAAGATTTTTCAATGGTTTATCATCAAACAATGAAATGGTGAGTTATTTTTCATGTTTCTACTCAAATATTAATTATATTACAAATATTATAATTTAAATTTCCTTGAGAAAAACAATCTATTTAAAAAAATGTTCTACATTGAACAGTTCAGCTGTTCAGTGTTGTTTTAGTTCAGCAGCTGAATGTTTACATAAAATGTTAGACAATCTAATTTTATATTCTATGAGTATAATTACCTTCAATAAGTTGTTGTCTGCATGTTGGATCAATGGTGTACACCCCCTGTCTTTCTTCAAGTTTTAACTTGTTTACAAATTCTTTAGATGAAACCCATTTAAAGATATTGCTATTCTGCAAAGTTTCTGGAACAATTCCCAAATTCTCTCTTTTCTCTAATAAACGTAAAGCAAAGTCAACTGGATTGTTGTTCTCCTTTTTCCAGTGAAAAATAGGATATGCAGACTTTCCTTTGGCTGATGGTTTTACAATTCTGACAATTTGACCGAAATAGTATGAACTTTTAACCCAAACAGCTATAAAATTATCCGTGGACAACACCATGTCACAAGAAGATGGACTTTGCGGCAAAAATTTATCAAAAATAATATAGTTGGAATAAAACCTGGTTAAACGAGACTGTTTTGGCATGTAAAATTTCCCCTGTTCCCATGATATGAATTTGTTTATGTGATACCAGTTTCCTTTATAGTACACATGGGTATTCTTCTTTGGATTTTGACTAGATTCTGAAAACTGATCATTTTGTTCTTCTGCAGGTAATGCTGGGAGATGTTCGTTAAGAATGATGGTAGGACTGTGATCTAAGACTGAACCACTCTGGGTGGGAATATTGGCACTGCTCTGGTCACTTATGGCTGCCGAATCACCAGGAGATGGGTGAATCTTTTCCACTGCATTTTGGCTATCCTCCATGTCACATGCCATATCTACAAGATCTGCGCTATGGAGTAAATCGGGATCATTTGCAAATGTGGTAAGTAAAATTTCTTCATTATTTAAGCTTTCAATTTCATCCTGGCTTAGATCCTCTAATTCATCTTTCTCTTCTGTATAAAATATTTGTTTTTTGTTGTTCCAGGTATTGTGTTTAATATTGTTGTCCTCCCCAAGTAAGCCATGTTTAATCAGATCTTCTTTCATCTTGGTCCTTTCTAAAAGTTTGCATGTCTTTTTGTCTGCATTTTCCATTTCTTCTTTTATGACTGTCAGGATGTCTTCAATCTCGGAATTAGTTCTGGTTGATTCTCGGTATTTCTTGTGTAGTTTATTTTCAGTTTCTGTAACTTTTTGGATGCGTCTGCATATGTCAAGAAATTCAGCATAGCAAAAATTATTTTTTGTTCGCACAAAACACATGCATTTTAAAAAAACATCCTCACAAGCATTTGATCCCCATGTCCATGGTTCAAATGGTTGGTCTGCATAGTGCAAAAAATGAAGTTTTGTCATCAGAATAAATGAATGGCCAGTAATAATGACATCATGATATGTTTGATCACTTATGAAGGTTTTGTCAGTGTCATAATTTAATAATTTAATCCAACTTCTCCAAAGCCTTGTAAACTGTACAAGTGTCCATGCATTCTGTATTCGTTGGTTTATTGATAGTTCTCTATTGAAGAAAAGATCATGCATTAAACTTCCAATATATAAATATGTAATAGTTCCAGAGTATTTCTCACCTCCAAAGTGTTCTAAATGAGTTTGCACATTTGGCTGGAATAAACGTATTGCAGCATTGACATTTTGCTTATCATTTACTCTTATATCGGTTTTCCAAAGTCCTAGTGTGTGTTTATAACTTTCACAATCAGCTAGTTTCATTAAGTGCTCCAGCTGAACAGAGTATCCACCCATAATTAAAAGTCGTCGTACATTTAGAATTTGGTTTCTCCATTTCTTCAATAAATGCCTGGGATCTGGAAAAGGACAATCCATACACATTGCACCACTTACAGGAAGTCCAAATGTAAAATCAGCTCGGTCGATAGTATATAGATTGTTAATTTCATCAGTTTTTGAATATCTGCTTAGGTAAAAAGACCTAACTTTTGAATCTCCGTCTGCCCCTAAGCCAAGAATATTTAGCCCATGGAGTTCTCCCCACTGCTTGGACATAGACAGCCAGGTTGAAACAGTTCTGTGACTTTCACCTTTAGTCACTGGTGGTGCTGCCAGAATATAATAAGGAATGTCTGAACGCATAGGAACTAACACTATAACATAAGTTTGTTGTGCTCGAGTCAAGTCCTTATTTTTAAAAGCTTGGATAATGTCATCTGCTGAGTAAACTGTTATTCTGGAATTGGTTGCAAATCCTAGAAGCTCATTTCCTTTGGCTCTTAGTAGCGGTAAAACAGGGGTTGCATCAACTGCTACAGTAAATATTATAGATTTCAATTCTAAATCTTTCAAAATGCTTTGATAAAACTTTGATGCTGATTTAAATGACAATTCTGTTAATGCTGTTTCTATTGGAATTGTTTGCCTAGCCTTTACATAAACGTGAGATAAGCTTGGTCCTCCAAGATTGCTTTTCATCAAATTGACAGTTGCTGGTCCTCCGTAATTAAGTAATAAACTAAACAAGTTCAATGTTGCCTCACTCCAAACTGGTTTTCTCTTTTCCAGATTTTTAAGTAAATCACCCATAAAATTTGCTAATGTGGACTTTTGTTCCAGCAGTAAAGAAAATTTGATGTAGGAATCTTTATCAATGGCTCTGTTGTCAGTGAATAAAGTCTTCTCCAGTGAATGCATGATTTGATCAGTAGTATAAGTTGGCTGAAAATATTGTTGACGATTAAGAATTGAAGACATTGCTTGAAGTTTTTCATGAAGGTAGACCTCAAGTAATTTCTGATTTGTTGCTTGTACTTTTTCAGAATTTTCAATAGCTGATTCCATTAAGTAACTTGCATGTTGATTTTTAAAGCACCACACTTGGTCAGAAGCAGATTCTTTTTCATCAATTTTATCAATGATTGTTTTAGATGACCAACAAATGTGTCTTTCAATATTTGATGCAACAGATTCAAAATAAATTCTGTTCTGATTATTGATGTGCCCAGTGTTTTGATAAAATTCTCTAGTCTCTCTCTGAATATTCTTACACATATGATCTGCTTTGTACTGATTTATGCCGTCTTGTTGAAGGGAAAGTTCTTCTTTGTACTTTAGTTCCTTTAGTCTAATTTTAGACTCTTCTCCTGTGGTTTTTCCATGTGAGACAATATTCCCAGGTTTTGCAGGTGTAAAGTCCTTTGGCTGTTTTGTGGTCTTCAGGAAAAAGGAATCCAATGTTGTTTTTTGCTTAAGGGAAGTTACCTTTAATGTTTTATCAGCCTGTTCAGTTAGAATCCATTTAGCACAAAATTTATGATTATCGGACACAAAATGGCGCATTACATTGCTAAGATGATTGTTTTTTTTTAGGGATATTGTAACTTTGCAAGCACTGCAGTAGACTGAATCTTCTGTAAATTGGACCTGATGGTATAATTCAGAAGTTTTGATTATAGATTTTACAACATCAATTTTTGTACAAGATCCCTCCAAGAATATGCATAGTAAAAGGAATGCTGTTAACACAGAAATTATTATTCTTGTAAAAGCAGGCATGATAAAAATAATCATTGACAATCACTCAAAAGTTAAATTCCATATAGAATATCTCCTCATTCAGTCATTGGCATAGTTTTGTGCACACTGCATTACTTGCAGTAAATCAAATGGTAGGTGAAGAGAGTAAAGCTGATCCATTCATTGCCATTTTGTGTCAGTGTGCTAATTGATTTTTAATTTGTTGAACTAGAGAAACCTTAGGGTGTCTCTTTGGTGCTTCCAAGTAACTGCTTCCCTGTCTCTTTGAATCTGTTTCATTTCCTTTCACATCTCAGTGTCAAAGACAAACGATTTAGAATATCATCTGTATTGAAACTTAGTTGATCTAGTAACTGTAAAGTAATCCATTTGTGTTTGATAACAGTAACATTTGTCATTCAATGACATTTTTCAACATTTGACTCATTTTGTGTGTTCTCCTCAGATGAAATACCCAACCTATTCCTGTAGACTGAACAGAAAACACCTGTCATCAAAGCACTATATCACAGTAAGTGTCAAATTGCATTGAATGTCATACTTTAATTGAATTAGGGGGAGGAAGGTTTGAGGGGGCATTTATTTTTTTTTTATTTCTGCCCACGGGTTCGAAACGGTTTAGTTTATTTGTTAAATATTCATAAATATGTCTGAAGAAGAGATTTTAGATGTTCTTGAATGTTCCGAAGAGTTCAATATTCTGAGCAGTGATAGCGAGGCATCGAATGATGATGCATTACCATCGTTATTTCCTCCAAGAAAGAGACTCAGGCCAATATCAGATGAGGAAAGTACTCAAGACTCTGAGCCTTCTAGCCCTGATTCAAATTATCAAGCAAATGAATCTAAGGATAATTCGGATAATTCCAGTGTCGACATTTCTGGACCCTCCGACTTGCGCGAAGAAAATAATGATGTACAAGGATCAGAGCAGGGTATGGAAGATCCAACCGTTTCCTCAGAAACAGATCCCTTTCATTTTAGTAGTGAAGGAGAGGATGAAGAAGAAGAAGAGGAGCCAGAGACTGAAGAGGAATGAGATGAATATGCTCCAAAATCGTGTGAAGATTCTGAGTTCAGATGAGGAGGACCATATTGACATTTAAACAGTGTCCAATCTGTTTAAGAAGAAGTTAAAGAAGTTTGGAATATCGCAAAGAATGGCAGCTAAACACATTTTAAGGTGCTCACAATCTAACTTAAGTGATCTCTTTTCCAAGGCTGCGGGACCAAAAACTTCCAAAGACTTGACCCACAGAGGAAAACAGCTGTACTTTGAGACGCAGAAGTGGCTGTCTTCTGAGGACCGACAAAGCGAAACAAAACGGAAATGTACCCAACAAAGAGGTATGAAGTTTTTGATTTTATTGAACTAAATATTTCATTTTAGACAAGCATATTTATTTAACTATTTACAAATATGATTTTTTCCTAAGTATTGCTCATAGTGGTAAAGTAACACACAGGGTTGTAAGGTTAATTTTGATTGACAGTTCAATACTACAGATATACAGTTGCTTAACTTGCATTTGATTATTTGGTCTAGACAACACATGCTGAGGCTTAACTACACAATAAAATGCCATTAGTCAAAGGTGGCTCATCATCTGAGCAAACTGTTAATGTTCTGGTTAGAGGAAACAGGGATGGTTAATAGAAATTTATCCTAGTATTTATTAGATAATGACCCGCATTCTTAACAATGATAACCTCAAACAGGGTTTCAAGCACAACTATATAAAATTGATTTCAATCCATGGATTGATGTCATAATTTTTTTTTTCAGCTTATGGGTGTAGAAGATCAGAGAAATCAAGGGGGAAAGGGAAAACAGCCACAAGATTTTCACCCGTTCAGCTTGCTGTGCTTGTAAGATTGTACAAAAAAGACAATAGACCATCAGCAAAAAAACAGCAGCTCATAGCAGAAACCCTTAATGTAGACACTATTCAAGTAAGGACGTGGTTTAACAACCAAAGAGCCAGGAATTTCCCGGCTGGAAAGGAGAAATCTGTGGATTCTAGTATACCTGATGATTTGGACAGCTTCGTAAATAATTATTAGATATTGAAATGGAACATTTGAACAATTCATTCAATACTCACAACAAAAGTATCCAAATTTTCTTTTTTAAATTGTTATGATTATTTGTATTTTTACAACCAGTTCTAGCATTTTTTCTTAATTATTTAGAAAGTCTGTTAATATTATTAACAATATTATTTAAAAAAAACACTAGAATTCTATTTTTTTCCTTCAGAATAAGTGTTAGATGTTTTTGTTGCTTTTTTTTTTAATTCATAAACTAGTAATGCTGTTGAGATTGAAATTGTACTACAATAGTATAGATTGAAATTGTACTACAATAGTAATCTTATAATGTATAATTGGTAAGAACCATGTTTAATAATTGTTTGTTTTAAATCTAGTCAACATACTTTCAAAAATTTGAATTACATGCTACACCCGTAACTGTATATACATGTAAATATGCAAAGGGCTTTTTTGTATGCACATTCTTTGTTCTCCATTATGTATTGTTTGGCCAATATATGCTTAATGGCCAAAGTAATTGTGAATGCAAGTACATGCTGATGTAAATATGTTGTGAGAAAGGGAGATTGTCAGAGGTTTGCTGTTTCTAGATTTTATGTTTAAATGCCAATTATTTAGAGAGCCTCTGTAAAAAGAGGATGCAGAATAAACCGATTTACTTGATTTATGGTGTTACAGTTGTGTCACATAGGTGATAAAGTTGGTGGTGGCACTGAGATCATGCTTGATGGAAGTATTTGAAGTTAACAATGTCAGAAGTAAGCAGCAAAAAAATTAAAGTTCTCATTCCATCTTCAGTAAAAGGAAGACATGCCAGTAAATTAAGTGTTAGAATGGATTACATGAAAGTGTGCCCAGAAACAAACAATCCCTATGATAAGAAGGCATTCAAGGTTATTGTGAATGAAAATATTTATGGGAGAGTGCCACAGATAGTTAAGGATATTTTTCACACAGTGGAAATATTATCTGTCCAAAACAAGCTTTATTATGAGATTTTATGGTATGTATCTCATATTTTTCAATCTACGACAAAGTATTCTGTTGTGAAAGTTTTTATCTGTTACCTAATTAGTAAAATCTTTCTTTCAAGGTAGCAATTAATTTTCTATAGTCTATACATTTTTCAAATAAAAAAAAAAGTAAGGAGGATTATATCCTCTAAGTATTTTATTGTCATTCTGTTAAAATATACTGTATAATATACTTTCAACTCTAATTTCTTCAGTGAAGGATCATAAACTTCCTTTTACTCATTTTATTAATTAAGGTAGTAATAAAAACTTGGTCATCCATTCTATGCTAGAGAAAAAAAGAGTGTTTTGGGGAAAAAGGTGGCTGAGTTGATTTTTAAATAGAATACAGCAAAACTCGGTTATAACGAAGTCATTGGGACCCATGAAATTACTTCGCTATATCAGTAATTCGTTATAACCGTATAAGAAATTTAATAAGTTTATATAGCTTGGGATCCAAGATGACTTCACTATATCTGCGAATTCGCAATATCCGTGTTTGTACTAACCATAAGCTTTACTGTATGGTCACAGAACCCACATGCAGTTAAAACTTTGACCTCCATCCCCCCTTCCTCCCCAAAAAGTACTCAATAAACTAAATACATTTACATGTGTCCTTTTACATACTAGTATGATATAATCAACAGCTGCCCTATAATTATTGATAGAATTTATAAAAAATGTCACACTGCAAATTAGATGTTTATTTCAAGCAGGTAAAAATTTCTAATGCATTGATGAATTAATATCCCAAAAATGCTTTGAAAAATTCTTGAGTGAGAGAAAAAAAGTGGTGGAATCAGTGGAAGGAGGGCATAAACATGATAAACACTAATATTAGACTACCAATAAATTGAAAGAAGCACAGATAAATAAAACAGAAAATATAGTTGCATAAGGATATTCTAATTAAAAAAACATTTTGTTTTGAAACATTATTCATGAAATTATCAGCACACTTAAAGTTTAAAGGGTAAACATGTTTGTAAATTTTGAAGATATTTGAAAGATCAGTGAAGTTGCAAATACAGTAAAATATTTTAATATAAATAATAAGAATTCTATTTTTAAAAATCTACAATGAAAGGGCACAGAACTTTTAACAAGCACTTCAATGGAAATAAATCCTACTGATTTTTAAACAACACACCAGAAAAAGAAATTCCCAAGTGTGATAGTTATAAAGCACTTAAGTCAAACTTCACATATCTTTACTTATTAGGCATGATTCATTGAGCAAACCAACAGTACTGGAGGATGTACAATGTGAGGGTGGTAGGTGGTAGGCGGAGAAGAGGGGGAGGCCTAGAGCAGCCATGTATTTATGAGGTCCATGCGGCTGCACCTGCTCTTGAAAGATTGGTGAAAGAGCGGAGTGAGCAAAATGTTCCCTATAAGGTAATAATAATCACACCTCTGCATTTTGATTAATGAAATCCAATTGATTTTATCATCAAATACAATAATTAATTCTTTATATGTCAAAGGTAATTTTGAAATAAGCATTTTTAATTCTCTTTACTAAAGATATTATAAAACTCAATATCACTTTATTTATATTTCAGACAGAAACTATCTAAATGCCAAGTGGACATGGAACCGGAAAGAAATGTGCAAACTAAAACTTCAATAAATATTAAATTGAATTGATTGGATATTTGAACTTATTTGAATTGCAATCTAAATGTGGCAATGACATGCAATTAGTATATTTTATTTCAACTTCTCTAATTATGTGGTAGAAGTAGACATAAAATGCATTTTGAGTATATCAATTCTATTTATTTTAATTCACATTATGTTTAATAAATCTAATATTTAACTCAAGAACTTATATAAATGGATAAATACACACAGTCATGTATTTTGCTGATAGAGTGACTGTGTGACACTGTGTGGAAACATAAAGCATTCAAAAAAACCATAAAAATTGATGAAAGGTTAAACCTTGACTGCCAAGGAAATGCAACGTCATAAGCAAAATTCAGAATTCTTACTCACACTGAACAAAAGCTATTACAATAGATCATCCATTTATAATTTTAACCTACCCGAAAAAAGACAACACAGGGATTTTAAAATATAAATCACATTTGCAGTCAAGGCGAGTAGTAAAAAAAAAATTATTAATATTGGCATTTGATAATTTTTTTTAAAAATAGTCTAGATACTGTAATGGTGTGTTTAAACTTGATTATGGTTTAATCACATACTATACTACCATGACTACCAAGAATTTACTAGACTTGGTCACTTACGAGGTACTATATTTTATAAAAGCACCCATAACTAATTTTCCAAAGTCACTATACTTCAATAATTCTTTGAAATCAGAATGCAGCAAACATTAATTTTTGTGGCATTATGGTTCAGTGAAACCTTTCTAATCTGACATGAAGTGGGAGACAAATTATGTGCATGTCAAAAGCCATGACAAAAATCACAGGGCTTCAGAGTGCAAAATATCAAGACCACGAGAGAAAAAAAAAATGAAATAAGGGCCGGGACTCGCATAAAATTAAATATATTGTGCAAGTGTCAGATCAGATAGTTTTTATTGTATTTATGTTTTGTTAATGAATTTATCGATCAATTATCGATCAAAAAGTAATCGATCAAACTTCCTGAGGAGTTTGATCGATTAATGATCGATGACCATAAGTAATCAATCGATTAGTGTTCGATTACAATCGATTTGTGATCGATTACCGATCTGATCGATTAATCATGTCTGGAAATTGGAACTTCAGGCGAGGATGACTCGGATTTCACCGACGCATTGGGTATATTGCACGATGATACAAATTTATGGAATATTTAATATTCTTGTCTTATATTTCGTGTAAGCATGTATTTAATTGAAAGGAAATTCATACAATAGATGACTAATATGATTTTAGTAACAATAATGACACATCAAAAATAAATCGTAAAAAAATTATATCGAAAAACATGTTTTTAATAT